CTCAAACTCTAAGGAATGCGTTGTCAGCCTAGAGTACGAAAGGTTGGAAAAACATTGCTCTCGCTGTTATAGGCTCACTCATGAAGCACAAGACTGCCCAAAGAAGGGGAACGAGCTCCCTGCTCAGAAAAGAAGCTCAACCCCAACTAACAAAACAAGGAATTCACCTCCAGCAGACAGAGCAAACTGGAATCTCCCCAAGACGGATCTAAGAGATGAGTTCCCAAGAAGACATGATAGACATGGACAATCGTTTGGGGAAAGAATCTCCTCTGAAGGTCTACAAAGAGGAAGAACATTTGAAGTTAGATCATCTGAACCTACCAGAAAAGAAAATTACTACTCCAATCAACATAGAGAAAAAGATAAGTATACTTTTTCACCAAGAAGAGCTAGGTATGAAACAGAGGGGGGCTATAGGGGGAAAGATTTGACGAAAAATACCGATATGAGAGAGGTAGAGGGGGGCTATACCGATAGCTAGCTATCAATCCCCCACCTCCAATGGAGGGAAAAAGCTCCTGCCCCTGAAAGTAACAAGCTTGCTACCCCTGAGTCCTCTCACAGTAGAAGACCACCTTTAGAGAGAAACCTGAATACAGAAAGCTTCTCTCAATTGCCCCTGGTACCATCTACGGAAGAAGTCATGGAGGAACTGAGAGATGTCACAGTTCAATACATGTACTGCCCGGATCCCCACGAAAGTGCTGCAAGGAAACAAAGGGTTAATGAGGGTGAGGCAAGAGATTTAATGGCTAAAACTGCTGCAAACATTATAGCTGCTGCTGCTAGAGCTCAACAATTGACAATGGGAGAAAGCTTGGAAATTACAGAAGATCTACCCCAACTCCCTAGTTCAGACCGGGTGGTAGTTGCCCCCCCCCCTAGCAAAAAAGAAGAGAGGAAGACCTCCACTAACAAAAAGGGGAAACAGTCCTCTCCTTGGTGCAAACTCAAAGAAGAGGAACCTCTATGCTATCCAAAACTCACCAACGAGAGGGAATGCGAAACAACAAGCAAAACATCAGACTGGTATGAGTCAACAAGGGACTAATATAGCCTCAACATCAAATCCAACTCCTCCCCAACAAAAGACAGGCAACACTCCTAGAGCTCAACAAACCACAAGACAGACAATTATCCCAGCGATCACAAAACCAAAAGG